CAAGATTTAGAATAGAGGTGTGGAGGTTGTGTGCTTGAAAATGTGAGATTTGAAGTTTGTTATGGCTTAAAATATGTCCTAAAGAACTATGAATAAGGTTGAATAGAGGTTCAGAGGATGGGCAAGATATCCAGTGAAGTGAGTTACTTTCTTGTAGGCATATATGACATTTGTTAGGATAGGAAGGGTTTCTTCTATAAAGAATATTAGGTGTTGGTAGGTCATCTAAAAGTAATTTGACTCTGAAAGATTTGTGTATAGAGGATTAGAAATTTATTAAAATTCTATAAATCCATAGAATTTAAATAAATAAAAATTTATTGAATTTGGTTTGATGGCTGTCGAGATATCTTTTCTCAAAGTTTTGAAAATTCTTAGGCATATGATCAAATGATGGGCCAGGTTAAAATAAAATTGGCCTTTATATCTATATAAAATGATTTAATTTACTTTATCTATTTCTCAAAAGTGACTAAGGTAATAAGTATTCGGTATACTAAGTAAGAATGTTCAGTATGACCGTAAACCTTCTCCAAACTTAATATTTAAATTAAAATTTGTAAATCTAAAATTCTATGTACATAAGTTTGTGTAAAAATGTATTTCATGATGGTTAGGTAAAATTTCCTAAGTTCATTAATCTCAATTACTTTATCCAGAGCCATGCTAGTGTATTGAACTATATCTTCAGCAAACAAGAATATCTATTAATGATAATTGTATTTGGTTTATTATGATACATAAGCACAATAATAAAAAAAAGAAATAATGATTTTCTCATGAGCTTAAAGTCAAATTAAATATTCATATTATGTTTGAGCAGATATACCAATAGCTGTGTAATAATGAATTACATTAAAACAAACACTAATTAATTAAATATTTTTGAATTGTTTTTATCATATTCGACTAAATTGGCTCTTTAAGCCGAGTCAGATTTAAACATCATTAATAGCCGTACTATAGTATCCTTCTTAGATAATTAAATTAACTTATTTCAAGTTTATTTAGAGATCTAAATAAATATTTAATTATAATGAAAAGATCATCAATTCATGAGACTTTATCGCATTTATGTTGCATGCAAACAACACGATTTCAACTTTTTCAAAAACCTTATCAAAATAAAGAAAAGAAGATGTTCAACTCACTAATAGAATGCCGGTTCTGAGAATTAAGGATTTGGAAGAAAAATGCTAAAGTGCATAGATATATTTTCAAAACGTATGCAAACCAAAACTAAAGATCAAGTGATTAAAGATCAAATAAAAGAAGTCAGGAAACAAACAGTTTAAATTTCAACAATTTGTGAAAAGCCTATTGAACTTAATGAAATTTTGTCTAATTATATAATTGAATTTCAATCGATTATTGAAGTTATTAAGGACAAAACAATTACCGATGAAGAAATGAGTGAAGAACTTGAATTATTGTTGTCTCTGACTGAAATAAGTGAAGAAGCATTAAAAGAAATGTGCAACCAAATCTGCGAAATTATTCTTAATTTCATTAAAGACAATGATGTTCTTAAAGAAAATTGAACAAGAATTGAAAATAATTATGAAGATGCAATAAATGCAACAGAGGATGATAAACGAAGAAGAGAGCAAAATTTTGAAAATAGTATTACAAAAGTTTGGATCTTAAAGGGGCAATCCAGACATTAATTGGTCTTTCTATTCCAGTTACTGGTCCGATTTCTTATGTAATAAGTGTCACGGAGTTACCCAAACTACCGTGTACTTTAACTTTACTATCGGTCTTTACTCGCTTGGCTAAATATATACGATGACCGGAGTATCGTACCAGATACTACCAACGATAATGTATTCACAGATAAAATAGTTTATTCACTAAGAATAATTCAAAGAGATATTGGGAACGAAAGTTTATTCACTAATAATCAAAGTTCTGCTATCTCCCCTTTAGGATCGATACCTTAAATATGTTAATTACTAATACATATTTGCGTCACTGATCATTACAGACTTTCTCATCGTTCATGCATCAATATTTTAGACTTCTAATTAAATCGTGATCACCCGATATGGATTACGCATTAATTAGCTCCCGACGTTCGATCAACACGTACCCGATCACTAGTCACATGCTTTCTGCATTTGAATAATTTTGGAAAGGATTCACTTAACGAAATCATTGAGGATATAAAGAAAGAAATAGATTAAATACTGTTAAGTATAAAATTATTTATAAGCATTTAGAAAATTAAAAGTTACAACTATTCAGCTAGAGCTATATTAACAAAGGATAGGATGATTTATTAGTAGAGTTCGGTGTATTAAATGTTGTAACAAAATTTTGTTTTGGCTTTTATGTATGCACAATATGCAATATATAAATATAATTTCTTCTTTGCATTTTCCATTTCACCATTGTCGTGCACAAATAATAATACAAAACAAAAGTACTGTAATTAAAAGGTAATGCAGTAGAAAAACCAACTTTATAATATAATTATAAATATAGATCATTACTGTTATCGTTATCGTTATTGTTATTAACGGGACCATCCCATAATTATCCTATGCATAACCTTTATTGGTATGCGATTGTAATTATACAATTTTCCCACACTTTTAACATACAGTATCAATTATGACATAATAATGGTAATCGTCATAACTTGATCAAAGTTTTCCCATACATTCATGAAAATTCGTAGATCTAATCTTATTCATTTGAATTTTTTTTCTAATCCATTGTGAGTTATTATCATGCAAAAACAATTAACAATTTCACCTATTTTTTTCATTATTGCGGCTTTATCGGTTTGGCTGCTCAAACATATTTCTTGTGAAATTACAACTACCACCAAATCTAATGGAATAATTTTAAATAAAAGGTTGTTACATGATCCTGGGGAATGTGTTGGAAACTTAACACGAAGAAATCATCCATCAGCCGATCCCTTAGGATGTTATATACTTAATTCATCCTTTCACATTGATACTTTAGACGGTCTTTCGAATTTAAACTTTTCTGATCCATATAAAGATCAAGATGGCAATTTAATGGATCCCGGCCTATGCATCATTCATTGTGCCGATTATCTTTTTAAATTTGCAGCACTTACAAATGGAAATAAGTGCAGATGTGGAAATAACACTGGTTTAGATGCGTACACTAAATTAACTGATGAATCATCAATCAATAAAACTTGTAATCTCAAATGCGTTGGTAATTCAAGTTATATATGTGGTGGAAAAGATGGCTACACCGTTTATGACGCATTAACGTCTATTTCAAGTTACAGTGCACCTACTATTGATATCAATAAAAAACTTGAAATAATTCATAATCTTAATAAAAATGTTCGATATAAAGGATGTTATAAGGATAGTCCTTATTGTAATCAAAGATTTTTAAATGGTACTTCAGAGGAGGTTTCCAGCATGACAATTGAATCATGCTTAACTTATTGTTGGCAAAAAAATTATACATATATGGGATTAGAAATTGGATCGCAATGCTTTTGTGATAATGATTACGATAACTTAACCAGACTATCAGTAGAAGAATGCAGTTTTAGTTGTGAAGGTAATAATTCAGAAATCTGTGGAGGTCCTTTAGCCATTAGTATATATAATGCTTCTAATTACGGTTCAGTTAATAATAGTTTAAAACATTCAGATTTAAATATTGGTGTTATTATTGGTATTGTTGTTGGTGGCTTTGTTATTGGTAGTATTATTATCTTATTAATAATTATACGAACTATAAAAGAACGAAGACAGAAGAAAGAATCTCCAATTACAGATGATGTACTGCAATGAAAAGATAACAATACTATCATGAACATTATTACTTTACAGTCAAGTCTCTCTATAGTAGGGATTGGAATCGGTTTAGTCGACTAAACATAGTAGCTTACTATAAAATTTTTTTAGTCGACTAAACCAATTCAAATCCTTACTCTATGATCATCTCTTATATGTATAAGTATATTTTTCTTATATATTTTAAAAAACAATAACTAAACATAATAAACTTAACTTCTATAATTGTCACATTTCTCTACAATCACACTTTCTTGTATCCCAAGTGTGTGATAATAGGGATAACTATTGCATATGATGTACCGTTATTTAATTAATAATTTCCGATTGTCACTATGATTTGGATCTAGATTTGATTAATTATGAATATAAGTGCTGGGCGAACATGACACCTGAATCAGAGCCAGTGGTAGTTAGAAGCAAAACTAGCTAGCAAAATTAGCTAGTAAAATTTGCAAATTTAGCAAAATAGCTTATTACAAAATTTATATTTGTCAATTATAAATTTTAATGTAGTCGTATGTTCTTCGATGAGTTCTTAATCTATCATCATTTACAACATGCATATAATTGCACGTTTATATAAATCAGTTTAAGAACAAAAGGAATAGTCGCATGCTTAGCAAATTTCGCATCTTAGCACAAACAATGTTGCTAGCTATTTTGCTAAAAAATAGCGCTATTTTAGATGCTACTAAAATCCACTGGCTCTGACCTGAATATTGTAATATTATATAATCATGTATGCGATCGATTGGGTATTTCTATGTCAGGGTGCTATAGTAAAAATTGATGGTATAGATTTTGTGCATAAATCAGCAAAAATCGATAGATTACTATATTGATTAGCTTGTCAACGAAGTGACAAAGCATTCATTATTGCGAGGTCAGGAGACTTTATTGCGGATCACATGTAGATCATCATAATGACATTTGTATAGTAATGAGTATAGTTTGTGGGAAAATTATGCTTGTCTTAAATGTATTCCTTTAAAAGGAAATAAATAATTGTTTTCGTTAGTATGTTGTAATTGTATGTTTATGCATGTGCTTTGGGTGGGAGTGCGTTACTGGGCTAGAGGTATTTAAGACCTGTATGCCGGGTAGATGTTTGTTATTCTTCTGTTCGCTATCGCTCGCCTTGGTATAGGCTGGCTCTATCAGCCCACCCTTCCCACCCTTTATCACGTGGCTCAGCGGCTTGAAATAGCGCAATGACCACTGTAAAGCCTGCCTAGCACACTGTTATTTGAATAAGTTGACTCCGAGGCTGCAAGAGCAGTGCAAGGACCAGTTCAAGAAGAAGTGTACAATTTTTTCAAGCGATTCTCTTTTTATCGCTATTTGAATATGAAGTTCCTCCTTGTATTGTTGACCTAGTTTTGTGATAGGAGTGTAGTTATATCAAGTTTAGGGGTGTGATATATTTAGGATTGGTTGATAGTGTTTTGTTGTCTTGGTTAGCTTGATCATTTCGGACTTGAATCGAAAGGTTAAGCTATCCCCGAATTAGCTAGGGACAGTTAGGAGTGTATGATAGCGGACCTTTTCCCATATGTTTTTTCATGTCATAGCAATTAAGTCTACGATCGAGCAATAATAATAAGAATTCTTGATTTCCAGTTATACTGTAACATGGCTCCCTCTTAAGCGATTCTCTTATATGTATGATTAAATCACAAGAGCAACTTAAGCAAGTTAGTTTAAATGGGTTAGATTCTACACAATTGTACGCCATCATTACAGCTTTAGAGAGCAAAAAAAACTCATTACAAGAAGTTATAATTGATAATTGTAAATATACAAAGTTGTTGAAAAATTATAAAAACTTTAAACCAGTTCATCTTAATGTTTCCTACCGTCCAGATGTGTTGAAAATAGTAAATTATAAAGTCAGTAATTTAGAGGTAGATGGCGAAGAAATTGATGCGTCAACTATGGTACATATTTTAGAAAAGTCTGGCACATTTTTACAACGATTAACACTTGATTCAGTAGAACATATTTTGAATGAAAATTTATTAATTGAAGCACTTAAGTCCTGTCCAAACATTATATATCTCAACATTTCGGGTATTGAGTTTTCCGAACAACTTATAGCGCTTATTAGAACTTTGCAAAAACTTCAATTTCTCAAATTATGGTTCTATGATGCTGATCTTGATGACGACGACGACGACGAAGAAGAACTGGCAATGCTAGTAACTAAGTTTGCAAAAGTATTGCCGTTAACCTTGCAATATCTTGATTTTGAAAGACAATACATCATGGCTAGATTTATATGCAGACATTTTTCTCCAACATTGCAAAGTATTTTTAAGAAAGATGTCATTTGGATCTTTATGATGAAGAAAGGTACTAAAGCGATAGTCGTAGCGGGAAATTTAAATTTAATTGGATTTAATTGATAATATTAAATAACAAATGGAAGGATATGCTACATTAGTACCATGTGATCGTATTTTTGTTAATTCTACTTCTTTGTTTAGCATGACATAAAATACTTTGTAAAAAGGGGTAATGATATCTATATGAACACTAAAACATCAGAATCGTAACTTTTTTTTATTCCGTTTTATTTGGTTTTTTGGTTTTTTGTTTTTTTTAGCATTTGTACGTTACGCTTTTATTTACAATCTGATGGAAATATTTCTTTTAATCTTCATGCAGTTGATATTAAAAATAAAAAATATGCGTACATGGAACCAGAAAAAAAATTAGTGGCTATTTTGATGGTAGTTTTA